CCCAGTGTGTGGCCGGCCAGCTCGTCCTCTGCCCGGCATCATCAAGCGCATCATCGGCGGGCGGAACGCGGAGCCCGGCTTCTTCCCCTGGCAGGCCCTGATTGTGGTGGAGGACATGTCCCGGGTGCCCAACGACAAATGGTTCGGCAGCGGGGCCCTGCTGTCAGAGTCCTGGGTGCTGACGGCCGCCCACGTGCTCCGGTCCCAGCGGCGGGACAAGACCGTCATCCCCGTCTCCAAGGAGCACGTCACTGTCTATCTGGCCCTTCATGACGTGAGGAACAAGATGGAAGCTGTCAACAGGACAGTGGAGAGGATCATCCTGCATGAGGAGTTTGACGTCCAGAACTACAACCACGACATCGCGCTGGTCAAGCTGAAGGAGAAGGTGACCATGGGGAAGTATGTCATGCCTGTCTGCCTGCCCCAGTTTGAGCATGAGCTGGAGGGGCCTCACCCCAACACCCTGGGGCTGGTGGCTGGCTGGGGGATCTCCAACCCCAACATCACAGTGGATGAGATCATCAGCTCAGGCATGAGGACCCTGTCTGACATCCTGCAGTACGTCAAGCTGCCCGTGGTGCTGCACGCCGAGTGCAAGACCAGCTACGAGTCGCGCTCAGGCAACTACAGCGTGACCGAGAACATGTTCTGCGCCGGCTACTATGAGGGGGGGAAGGACACTTGTCTGGGAGACAGCGGGGGAGCCTTTGTCATCCAGGACCCAGGAACGCGGAGGTGGGTGGCCCAAGGGCTGGTCTCATGGGGTGGCCCAGAGGAGTGTGGCAGCAAGCAGGTGTATGGTGTGTACACCAAGGTCTCTAACTATGTGGACTGGGTGGAGCAGAAAACAGGCTCCTCAGAGAGATGGACACTTCTGGACCCAGAGCTGGAGAGATGAGTGACTAAGCAGCCTGCTGCCACCGTGGCTCCCTTTTCTCTTGTTGTTATTGTTTAATGTGCTCCAGACTCGGGTCTTTCGCAAGCAATAGCCACGATACTCCACGCATGCCAAGCCCTTGCCAGGTCATTTGTTTCGCTTGGTCCCCCATCCCTTTGCTTGCGTTCTTAGGAAATGCTTGCTAGGGAGCTGGAGGGAGGGGGCAAAGGACAGGATCTCAGCTGGTGTCCTCCGCATGTGCTGCCCATCTGCAAACCTCACCCACACTCCAGGGAACTGCCCTCCGAGCCAGGAAAAAGGCACAGCAATTGAGGCAGCGTTTCCCTGACACCAAAGCTTTGTACCGAGCACAGGGAATTTGTCCCTACCCCCAGGACTTTCCAGCCAATTCTGTCTATCAGAAGATGCAACTACAGAGCTTCAGATCCTATGGACAGTGCAGGAAATCCACGTGGGCAGGCCTGGGCTTCACAGGTTCCCCATGCTGGTGAGCCCCTTTTCTGTGCAAGGGGTAATGAGAGTCCTAGGAGTTTGCCATTATTTTTATATACAAATAAAAGTCCCTTCCTGGTGGCATCTCAGGTGATATCCACCTGGCCCCAAAGATGTGAGGATGCATCCACATTTAGCCCTAAACTTCAGCCATGGCTGCCAAGACAGCACCAGCCCAAACAGGATACCTGTATCCCACCATGTGGGATGAGTGACCCACAGAGGACACGAGGACATGGAGCAGGGTTTGGACTCAGCATCACCCTGACCTCCAGCCACAAAAATTTCTCCAATCCTCTATCACTTGAAGCCCTCTCTAGTCCCACCCTGAGATTAGCTCTGTGGTTTCCAGCCACAGCAGACCTCCCAAGGAAAGTTTTCCATTACAAGACAGCTTCACATTGGCTGTATCTAATACTTATTTTCAGCAGAATCATTTCATATAAAACATTCTTCCTTGGCTTTCATCTCTTTCTCAGGGGCCTGGTTAGTCCTGCATGACAGTTTATTCATTCTTGCAAGAACCTAGTCCCTTTTAACTGCTTTTGAGGCCACTGATCTAGCTGATTTACAAGTTACCAGTGATATTCAGTGTTTGCTCATGGCTCTTGTGGCCTATTGCAAGTGTCCAAATCCTTCTAGACTGACTCAAACCCACCAAACACACCAGAAGTATTCATATCTCCCCAGCTTCCCTCCATGGCCCATGCAGACAAGTCCCAACAAGGAACAAGGTCAGGTGAGCTGTCCTTCCTTCAGCAGGGACACCTTCTGCTCTATTTGCCAGCAAAGCCCCCCTATAGCTGTAAGCAACATGCAAAAATTACCTGCTGTGCTCTCTGCGTGTCTGTAGCCTCCTTCAGACTTTTCTTTCTCCTCCTCCTCCTTTGGTTTTTCCATGAAAGGAAGAAGCCAACAGTGGATGAACCATTCTGACATTTTGCTATTATCCAAAAAGCCATTTGTAGAACTTGTAGAGGAGCAGAAGGCCTAAGGATGGTTGAACTTGCAGATACACTATGAACTGTACTCTTGGCTATGTCATGTAACTGCAAGGTATTTTTTAATATATATGTATTTCTTTTTTATATATATATATTACATTCTGTAAAATATCTGATGGTTCTCTCAGTCTTCCTCCTGAGAACAAAATAAAACTTTTGTATGTACTGAGCGTATGTACTGAGCTTGTGCCCCATGGCTTTTATTCCAAGAGGAACACGGTCAAGTCTGGTTGCTGATGTCTGCTATGCACGCCTGCACTCCCAGGAGAATCCTCACACCATCCCTCACTCCGACAGCTGCTCAGCCTTGGCCTGTGCAGCTTCTTGGGCTGAGACAGACCCTGAGCAGCCCCTGAATACAAATCACAAAAAAAGGGCAACAGAGGAGGACCTGCCTTCAATTATTTATAGCCTTAGCACATCACTGAAGATGGGGGTAGTGGCAGGAGGAGAGGGCTGCAACCTGTTTGCTGAGAATAGCAATTAAGTCTGAATTCAATTGACATGAGGAAAAAAATATGAGGTGTGTGACTTTTGTTTTAATAGATGTGAAAAATCAGCCCATCCTCACTAGTTGTTGGACTGAGAACATGTCCTCACAGCAGAGGACCTGCAGGGAACTCAGATGTAAGCTGAGGCAGGGACAAAACTCTGCCAGACATCTCTGTACCAGAGACTGTGAGAATCTACACTCTGGAGGGAGATTAAAATAATGGGGACTGTTTCCTCCCTTGTGCCTGTATCCAGGGCTGGGAGCTGGGTTATTGATCCCTATTTTCCAATGGCACAGAACTGAAAAACAGCACGAGGCTCCTCTGTTTTGATGGCAGGGAGGAGGGTGGTGGGTCTGGCTCGCTAACACATCCAGAGACATCACAGGAGTAAAGGAGAGGAGAGAGAAAAAGCAAAATAAAGGCATGGTCCCCTGAGCATTAAACCATCGCCTGTAGGATCTGAGCCCAGACAGCCCTGGGGCACATTAAAAAATATTGCTGTCCTTTAACAGATCACTGGTAAATACACTCTCCCCGCCTCCCGTCAATAGCTTTGCCGGGAAATCCCCGGGCCAGCCCAGCCCTCGCCCCCTGCTCACGGAGCTGCGGCTGCCGAGCGCCAGCCCCGAGCGCCCCTCGGGCTCTGCGGTGGGCTGGAACTGGCAGCCGAGGAGAAAAGGGAGACCAACAATGGGCTTTGCATTTTCTGGCACCTCGCAACCTGCCAGAGTGCTGAGAGCTTCTCTCCTGGGAGACAGGCGCGGAGACAGCTATTTATCAGTCTTCCTGTGGTGGAGAGCCAGCAAAACATCTCTGGGTGAAGTTTTTCGCTGTCCCTGGCTGCGAGCACCAGGCGCGAGCTGAGAGTTGCTGTAGCAGAGCCCAGTCTCAAAGAGACCAGGGGGACAGACAGGACCTGCACAGAACCCACAGGGAGAGCATCCTTCTTCCCTCATCCCCTGGGATGGGCTCGCTGTTCCCATGACAGCTGGGGGGCCTGGCCAGGCCAGGAGTGCTTGCTCTGAACCCCAAAAGTGCCAAGAGCCACAGAAAGCAGAATTTTGAAGGCAGTTTGCTAAGAAACTAGTAATGGGCACAACTGCATGTTGGAAAAGGGTATCCTGGAAAGGACCCCAAAAATGAAGCCATGGCTGAGAAGCCCATGTATGCACAGATGGCTCTGAGTACTGGAGAGGAGATGAAGGGGCTGCATGAAGGAGGGGACATGCTTGCACAGGATGAGGACACAGGCAGGCAAGAAGGCAGTGGCGAGGAGGAGACCAGGGAAAAAGGAGCATATTCACACAAGGCCGTGGATGGGGGAGCACGGTGGTGTGTTAGAGACTTGAAAGAGATAGGTCTGCCCTTGTAAAAGAGCAGAGAGACTCAAGCAGAAAAATACCAGACTAGCAGACTAAATCCCCTGCAGGGATGTAGTGTCCGCCAGAGTTGGTATCTCAGGCAGAGGCGAGGGAGTTCCCACTCAGCAGCTGGGCGGCTGGGGAGGCTGCAGACAGCCCAGACATGGTAACTGGGGCTGGGAAAACCTCAGCATTGAAAGAAGAGGGCTATGGGCAATGGCAGCGAGAAACTTGGCCAGATCTTCGCTTCATGGCATAGCAGCGGCGGGGCAGGGGCGGGCTGCTCCCAGCACAGGAGGGAGGGAAGCTGGTCCAGGCTGCAGGATCGGCCCCGCCAGAGCACAGCTCCGGCAGAGCCGCAGCAGAGGCACTCATCAGAGCCTCTCAGCCACAGAGCAGTCCCGGACCCACGCAGCGTGGCCTTTGGGGGACCACACTAAAGGGAAGCAGCTGGTCACAGAAACAGCAGGGAGGGCATCCCCCATGTGAGGAATCCTGTCCCGTCCCAGTGCTGACGGGTCACTGGTCCCAGTGGTTCCCAGTGCAGTGCCGGAGATCTGCAGCTCCATCTGGTGGTTCCGTGGCCAGGGCTGCTGAGGCTGCAGAGAGAAGGCGCTGGTGAAGGAAGTTGGTGGAATAAAAGCAGGCCAGAGCACTTAAGAAACCAAATCCACGCTGCGTCTGGACCACACAGCGTTTTCTTGTTATATTCATTCTTGTTATATTCATTTTTTTTAACCAGTAGCCCTCATATCTGCGAATACGGACGAATCTTACAGTAGCAGAAAAAGCCGCATAAAGGGCCCTTCAGGATACAGCAGGGAGGAGAGGACAGCACCTGGGAAGCAGGTGCAGCCAGGGATTGATGCTGTGTGAGCCACACAGAGTTTGGTTATTTCTTTTCCTTCAGCCCACCATTCTTCCACTAATTCAGTCAGGAAATCTTTGATATCATACCCATCTTCAACATCAAATCATTTGCAAAGCCAGGAGAGGATGGATACAGCTGCTTCAGTGGTTCTGAAGGTCTGTTCCTTGTTGGACTAATGTGACAGACAGGCCTAAAACCAATGTCAGTACCTGAAGTAATTTGAGGGCTGTTCAATTCAGCTCTTGCAACTCAGATAAGCAACAGGTCCCCTGGTGCCTGTGTTTCAGCTCCCCCACAATTCATGAATCCCAGAGAAAACAGCAAAGAGGGACTCAGGAATGTGTTAGAAATTCCCATTTAACCCCAGCAATCAGCATCCTAGCACAGCAGGTGCCTGGGGCCACTGAAGCAGAGTAAGCCAGAAAGTGGATGGAATTAATAGGAATCATTCACCAGCCAGGATCACTGGCCAGCCTCTCTGTGAGAGGTATCAAAAAAACCGAAAACTATTATATGAATGGCGCAAGCACACCAAGGGATGCTGTCTCCTAAATTGCTCCTAAACCCATCCAGGGCTCAGCAGTGAGCTGGTGACTGCATGCTCATCACTGGCACCTTGCTTCCCCAGGGAATGGCTGCATCTCCTGGATTCTCCTGGGGCCCCATGGAGGTGGATTTCCCATGTGCATCCCGCAGTGCGCTCGCAGGTGACAGCCCTTGCAATGCTCTCTCTCGCAGGGCACACCATGCACCCCCAACACCACTTGCTCACCCCAGGATCCCAGAGAAGACAGACTTTGGTAACCATGGTTGTGTTTGAGGTTTGTGATGTACAGGCTACAGGCTATTTCAAAAGTTTAGTCAAGTTGCTGTGGTTTAAGCCCTGCCAGCAACTAAGTACAGCGCAGCCTCTCACTCAGTCAAACCACCCTGCCCCAGTAGGATGGGGAGAAGAACTGGAAAAGGGTAAAGTCTGTGAGTTGAGATAAGAACAGTTCGATAATTGAAACAAAGTAAATATAATAATAATAATAATAACAATCATGAACAGAGAGATAAAGAGAGAGAGAGAGAGAGAGAGACATAATAAAGACAAGAGATGCACACTACAGTTGTACACCACCCTCTGACCCATGTCCAGCCCATCCCCTGGAGCAATCGGCCCCTCCTGGACAACTCCTCCAGTTTATCCACTGAGCAGAATGATTTATGGTACAGAAAGTCCTTTGTGCCAGTTGTGGCCAGCTGTCCTGGCCGTGCTCCCTCACAGCTCCTTGTGCACCTGCTCCACTGGCAGAGCAGGGGAAACAGAGAAGTCCTTGACTTAGAGTAAGCTCTACTTGCAACAACTAAAACATCATCCTGTTATCAACATTATTATTGCCATATTAAGTCCAAAGTACAATGCTGTAACAGCTACAAAGAAGAAAACTATTTCCATCCCAGCTGAAACCAGGACACAAGCACTTACAAACCAACTTCACCTCATTTTTCTGGGCTAAACTTGTGGCCACAGGACATGCTGTGCCTATGAGTAAGTTCTACAGGAACCCAGCTCCCCTGCAAGGAAGGTAAAAGTCAAGGTTAGGCTGCATGGGGACAACAGCACATTTCCTCCCAACTTTATGACACCCACAAGATCCCTAAAGCCCTGCAGCGTGAAGTAGCAGAAGGCAAGAGTCCACATCTTCCCCTTCACCCAGATCCTGTAGCCCAGTATTTGCAATTTCCTGATAACTGGGGCATAATTGAAACTGCTGCCACAGCCTTCTTGCACTTGCCAAGTTTGGGCACCCTTTGTCCCATCTGCAGGATACCCAGACAGCTGGCCAAAGGCAGGGCAGACTGGGGATGTGCCCCCCTGGAAGCAGAGCTCCGCTGGGAGATAAAAACAGCCCCCAGCTTCCTTCTGAGATGCCCACACACACCTAGAAAAGGCTTTTGAGAAATTAAAAAGTACAAATGCACCCTTGGGCTGAGGAGAAGGAGCTTGCTTTATTCTTGCAAGTAATAAACTTCATCCTGTGCATGGGGTAGCTGGGAGATTCATCCTCATACAGAATATGTCCCATAAGAATCCATCAGACCCACCAGTCTTCCAGAGGCTGTGGGACAAGGTGCATGGCTGAGGCATCCCAATTGTGTTCCCATGCCACCAGGAGCTGGGGAGCTTGCTGAGCCAAGAGCAAGGGCTGACCTTGGGTACCAAATTTTCCAGGCAGTTCATCAGCTTCCTTAGCCATCACCCCAGTTCCTCTTTGTGATCCCCAGATCTCTCTACCTCAGGGTCAAATAAAGCACAACAAAGATGATCAGTGCCAAAACACAGAGCAAAGAGCCACCGATGCAGCAGCAGCATTTCCAGGGGAAATTGCTGTTCGAGGGTGAGGGGTGGTGGGTTGAGGCTGCATGGGGCCTTAAGTCCTGGCCTTTCAGGGGCTGAGAAGTCCTGGACACATTTGCATTCCAGGCAGCCCAATTTCGGGCTGACTGCGACTCAGTGTGATGGGTCCTGGCCTTGCCCACACCAACCAAAGGCTTACAGTCATCTGATCCTGGGGATGGCCACAACTCAGTGTGATGGGTCCTGGCCTTGCCCACACCAACCAAAGGCTTACAGTCATCTGATCCTGGGGATGGCCACAACTCAGTGTGATGGGTCCTGGCCTTGCCCACACCAACCAAAGGCTTACAGTCATCTGATCCTGGGGATGGCCACAACTCAGTGTGATGGGTCCTGGCCTCCCCCATATTTGTCAAGGACTTCCAGACATCCGATGCCAAGGCCAGCCATGACTCGGTGCTGTGCATCCTGGCCTTGTCCTCATCCCTCAAGGGTTTCCAGGCATCCTGTGCTGGGGCCCTCTGTGACCTGTAGCAGTTGCCGAGCTGGCAGGCCTCGCAGTGGGCACGGTCGTGTGGCCCCGTCACCGGTGTATCCACCACGACTTCCAGGAGGTCAGAGGGCTGGACAGGCTTATTGTAGAAATACTGGAGGATCTTTATTGCCAGGTTGTGCAGAATTGTCTCCACAGTCTCCAGGCTGAACTCAGCAACCTCCAGCCGGGAGTTGGGGCAGCGCCTGCATTTCTGGCGGAAGATTCTCATCCACACTGTGCCCCAGCCTTGGGAGTGGCACATGTGGAACAGGATGTGCACTTTGGCAGAAGACCACTTATGAAAACACTGGGAGCACTCAAACCTGTCAGGGCAAAGAGGAGACCAGCTCATCCCAGGTGCCCCACACTGAGCCAGAGCCTTTCAGCACAGTCAGTAGGGATGAGGGTTAACACAGATGATGGACTTACCTCGGTCATGCAAGCTTTACACCTAACTGTCCTCCCCCTAACAGCATGTTGCCAGTCTGGGAAGTTCACCACATATGTGAGCTGAGGGCTGGCCCCAGCATTAAAGATTTCAGAAGCCAGGCTGTCTGCTGGGATCCTGCCTCCACTGCCAAAAGCAGGGGCCCTTGGGGCGGGAACCATCAGGTCCCTGTGTGGGATTCCAGCCCCTCACCCATGCTGGCTCATCACAGCTCAGCAGAAAGCTAGCATCAAAACCAAGACTGGGTAACAGAATAAAAAGAAGCAAAACAGAAGGAAGGTGTGGGTGGAAGGTACAGGGCAGGTGAAGATACATCTTGAAGAGCCAAAAGGTGTGCAGCCCACAGCTCTTCATCTTGCACAATCTGCATGGGACCTGGGAACCAAGGTCTCCATTTGATGCCGCTCAGGCAGGGTGTTTGAACAATGCCCAGGGTGGGAATGTTTGGGATAGGGCTTTTCATCAGCAATGCAGAGCCACAGCCTCTCTCTGCCCAAGGTGCCACAGCCTAGTGCAGGTGCAGGAGCTGCTGAAGCATTGTCCCATGTCCCAGCACACAGTGGTTCTCTCTCTCCTCATCCTCTGGGCGCAAACCCAGAAGATTTGATTCTAGTGAGATATAACTCCCCCTACTTGCTGAAGGAGCTCTTTTCATCTTGACAACAACATAGAGACATTCTGGCCAAATAACATCTGCCCTTTGGTGTTGGCCCTATGGTGTTGCTGAACTATTCTCCCCTCCAATTACCATGTTTTCCAGTTTGGCAATAACCAACTGAGATTCAAACAAAAATTAAGAAACCCTTCACAGCCTCATCCACCTCCAAACTCCTCTTTTTGCTCAAAAACCTGTTTCCTGCAAGCAAATTTTGAACATGGGAAAGGTCCACATGGCAACCCATCAACCCTGATCCCACTCCAAGTGGGACTGCCAGCAGCCCCTTACCTCCCAAGAGCACGGTGCTGCACAAACTCCTTCCAGCCAGGCCTGCAGTCCTGCACCTGCAGGGAATCATCCTCCACAAGTGTCCATGGATCTGTTATGTGCATTTCTTCAATCTTCACTGCAAAAATGCCCTGCCACGTGGTCATGGTTGCACTTGAAGCTGGGGAAGAGGTAGTGACCAAGCCTGTAAGTCAAGCTTGCAGCTTCTCAATGCTAATACACATGTGCAACTGCCTTTTCCCTATACTTTTCCTCTTTGTACAATGTTTTTGTGCACGGAGAGGGGAACCTTTGCTCCTGCATGAGCAGCACCGCCCCATCCCAGTCTCTGAGTCAACAGTCTCTGCTGACACTGCACCAGATCTTGGCCAGGTGAAATGGCCCCTAAAACAAGGACAAGGTGGGTTTCCTCAATATATATAGGTGAACCCCTGAGCTTGGAAAGCCACAATGCTGCTTTGTCCATAGGCAGAAAGACTGGAAACAAAACCAGGCTGCCCATGCCCATCACATTCATGGCAGTGGGGAGAACTTTGAGAGATTTGCCCAGCTTAGGAATAATGAAAGCGAAACCCATTGAAAATGCAGGACTCAGTAGCTGATAAAGCTCCAAGATAACCTTCTCTCTCTCAACAGCTGCCACCAACCATGGGCTATTTTTATCAACTTTCAGTCAATTTGAGCAGAAAAAGGCCTAACATGAAACTGCAGGGTGGAAAGTTGGGGAGGACAACATGGTAAATAAAACCAAAAGAGATGAGTTGTGCTCTGAGCTGAGAGCACCCAGGTAAGGTATAAACAGCAGGGCTGGGGCTGCCTGCAGCCCTCTGCCTCCCAGATCACCCCTCCTGGGGTGCACAAGCCCCCCAGGAAATCCCGTAGAGAGCAATGCAGGACAGAGAGCAGGTTAGATAAGATATCAAATGATAACAGGTCTTGAGTTTGAGAAGGATCTTGATAAGGCAGGTTTTGGTTCAGGCAGTCCATGCAGGTAAATCCCAGGAGCCACAGCCTGGCAGGGAGGCTCTGATCTTTGCTGCTGGAAGGGAAAAGCCATCAAGTCATCAAGCCAAGAGCCCTATAACGCCTTCACAATGTGCACTGCCCATCCTGTGACGAGATTCCAGGGCAGACCAAACCTTCAGCTTCCACATTTTCCTTCTATGAGGTTCCTTCTGCTCTCAATTACACCTTGATACCATCATCTGGAGCAGGACTGGAAGGAAAGAAAGAGCTTGGAAGCAGAAAAGCCTAGACAAGGTCCTCAGGAGGCTTATGAAGAGGTAGAAAGCCCTATCCTATGGACAGACCCTGAGTCACCCCCGTGCTGAGACCCCTGTCATGGCTTCATTGGGTCCTGCTTGGGCTGGGGCAGTGAACTACAGGCAGGACAGTGAAGGAGGGATCATCCCTCAGTGTTTTCAATGTTCGCAGATGGGAGCTTGGGGACATCCCTGGCTCAGGGCTGGTGCATGAGCAGGAAGAGATGAAAGAGCAGATCTTCCCGGCCTCCTCTCATTCCTTTCCCTGGGGCCCCCATATCTATAGGTTCATTATAAAAAACCCCTTAATGTACCCTGCCACAGAGGGGTCTTCAGGGCTGCAAATCTCATGGTGCAGAAGGTGGGAGCTAAGTAGGGAAAGGGTTGGCCTCACAGCTGGCACCATGGCCCATGGCACAGGGACCCAGCCAGCAGCACAGTGACCAGGATGGAGCTCCCACCCTGCAGCATCTGCCTGTCCCCTTGACCCCTTCTGTGTTATTGTCCAAGATTCACCTTGGGGGGGTTGAATGCAGGAAAGACCTAAAGGTTTTGACACCTTCCCTTCACAGCTAGGGCATGCCTGTGTTAAACACCTCCAGCTGTTTTGAGGAGGAGGAGCCCCTCGGGGACACAGCCCTGTCTCTTGACGCTCTCATATTCACCCGAGCAAACCGATCTCTTCATCTGGGGGATCTGTGGTTTAAGCTCTTCCTCCTCGAGGCTGCTGACACAGGGCAGAGGGATTCTCCCCTCAGGACAGGCACCACTCCCCACACTTCCCACACCAGGGACCAAAACACTGCTCCTCTGGCCCACTGCTCAGTGAGAATACCGTGGCATACCTGGCACAGGAACAGGTCCCTGCCTTCAAAACCTGACTGTGATGGAAACCAGTGCCCTGTTACGTCATGGTAACACAACTCAAATCGTGACCCACAATGTGCTGAGCCCTCACAGTCATCTCTGAGACAGCCAAGTGCTGGTCCCTCTATTAAAGCTTTTGACTTGCTTTTATTAAAGGGACTTTCCTGAATAACCCACAGAGACAAAATTGCTTTGACATCCTGTTCCATTTCAACACACACCTCCTGGCTCTGCCCAAGCACCTTTCTACCAGGCTTATCAGTACCTGCCTGGAAACAAAAGCTGTTCCTACAGGATCTCCCACAGCCTGGCCTCAGCAGGGAGTGGGAACAAGCTCTGTCGTGCACACAGCATGACGTCAGTGGGCTGGCAGCCCTTGCCAGGGTCAGACTCTGCCAATCCTCTTCATTCCAGCACACTGGCCATGGCTTCTCCGTGGGATGCATGAAGGAAGCACTCAAAGTGCAGCCTGGGTGGTAATTTCCCTGCTGTTTTTGTACAGCATGAAATTATTTTTGACTTGACTGGGTGAGCCGTGTCTGTGTGTGCAGGAAGGTTTCCCAAAGTTCTTTCTCCTCCTCTTCATCTCTCACTATTCCAGTGTGCCAGCCTCCACATTCCCTACTCTTCCAGCCAAGGGACAAAGTGCCCACATTGCCCATAAGGACCATCCTCAGCCCACATGTGCCTCATTCCTGCTGAGACATCCATCCCTTCCTTTGGCATGGGTCACACCATACCCTGGTGGCTCCATCCTGCCAGCAGTCCCTGGGAGGAGCATGAAGAGACATTCAACCCCAAACCTCAGGCAGGACTGCAGAGAGGAACATCCTCTCAGGGGTGGGGATGCTGTGTCCTTGGGCACATCAAGGTTTGCAGGACAGATGAACTGACATCTAACCAACAGGGCAGAACCCTAAACATTTCTCACAGCTTGCTTCATACCGAGGCTTTTTCCCACTCTGAAGACTTCCCTCATTTTTTCCTGTGCTGAACACACCCAATTATTTTCCATCATTCATTTTTTCAGGAAATTTTTGCTCTTTTCTCCAGGTCATCAGGGTGAACTCATTTTCTAACCCTCCACCCAAACAGCCCCTACACCCTCCTTCAATAGCATCTTGTTTTCATGTGAGCCAGGCTTCCCCAGAAAATCTGTTGGATGTGTCTGCTGCACAAGCTATTGATAAATGTTCATGGGATTGAGCTTCTTGAGAATCCATCCACCCACAGTGGCAGAATTTTCCATTTCCTCATTTGCTTATGAGAATGTAATGTAAGGCATCACAAAGATAGCATCCCTTCCGCTTTCCCTGTGCTACCCAGTGTGACACGCTAATGAAGAGAAAATGAGGATGGTTTGACACAAGTTCCTGCTAAATCTGTGTTCTCAGCCCCAGCACTGCCCTGTCAGTGTTTGTCACTTGGTGGTAATTTGTTCCAGCAGTTTTCTGAGTACTGAAGCAGGTTGACTCATCTAGAATTTCCCAGATTCTCTTTTTTCTGCTTCCATGAAGCAGATGGTGAATTGAGCATTCATATCCTCCTGGGACATTGCTCCATGACAGCTCCCTGTGCCTTAGTCCCCCTCCAACCTTGATGCAGTTGACAATGAATGGTTGTCAGCCTATCGTGGTGAAACCCACCAGATCTAGGGACAAGCAATGGTTACAGGTTCCCTTCCATGCTGGACTGTCTGCACAGCTGAGCCCTTAGAGCAGAAGGGTCCACCTAAGGTGGATTTGAGGAAAGGAGGATCAGTTCCTCTGGAAACGGGGCTATGCCCAAGCTGGACTATAAAGAGGGTACATTGCCCCATCATCCTGGACTTCTGGCATGGAGAGGGATGCTGAGCAATGGAGAGAGATTTAAGGGGGAAAATGGATGTGGAGGTTTGGGTGGGTATTACCCCACATGGGCTTAGGCTCCTTGTTCACCTGGTGAGCCTTGTGATGGTCTCCGCAGGTGCAAGAAGCAAGCTCAACCCCCTCCAACAAGGCTCTACTCCAGTGCCATGGGCAGTGGATTTGGTCTTGGGACAGAGAAGCAGGCAAACAAAGGACTCCTGCCTGGCCCTCCAAGCCCCAGGCACCAGGGGGACTGCCAGCTCCCTCACTGAGCATCACATCCCACCAAAGGGAAGAAGAGAGAGGAGAAGAAACTCTGGAGACAACTCAAAGCAAAACTAGAGAAAGTGGAATGAGTGTGGTAGCATGAAACAAAGATGCTCTGTAAGGCTACAACAGCTCAGTGACAGGTAGGGTGAGACTCTTGGTGGAACAGGATGGAAGAGATGTTGTGGACCCAGACCCTTCAGGACACACCAGAGCTGTGCAGCCTGGCCATGGTTAGGGGACCGGGCAGTCTGCGCAGCAGCCCACCCCTCCTACCACAGCACCCACCAGCTCCCTCCAGGCTTTCTCTTCCAGGAACAACAGTTACTTTCCCAGACACTTGAGGCCACGGCAATGCTCCCACACCACAGTTCTGGACAGATCAGTCCCACCCACAAGCCATCCCATTAACCCAGGGGACAAATAACCTACACACCTGATGCATCACCCCCAGTCCAACCTCTCCTAACCAAAAACCTCCAAGACATCCCAGTGACAGGACAGTGCTCCCTTGAAACTGACCCTACTGTCCTACAGCCTGACCACCCCTTCTCCCCTCAGCATCAGTATCCTAGTGTTCAGGAATGGTGCCTTGCTGGTCCATGGCATGGCTTTCCTCAAAGGCATGGCTGCAAAGTGCAGGAAAGGATTTCTTTTCCATCTTCATCTGCCTACCTAGTTCTCCCAAGACATGGTTTATTGAGTTCATGTTTCCTGAAGAGATGCTTGCTCACATGTTGTTTCCCAACCTCTTTTAATCAAGGCTGGGGTGTATAAGGAGCCAGGCTGGCTCTCAAGCACCATGTAGGAGGTGACTTGCTTAGGTAGTGTCCAGGCATGTTGCCACACATCCAGCTTTCTGCAGATGCTGAGAGGGATCAGTCCCAGCTCTCTGAGGTCTCC